AGCAGGGTGACTGACATGTATCAGATTTCTGTATCTTTATCTGCATAGCCAGTATAACCGCCCTTCAACGTAAGACACCAGCTTTGCAAGCACGTGGCGCGGCGGCAGCTGGCTACGTAACACCGAACGACATGTTACACCTAACCCTTGAACATCTTAAACTCTAAACATTGTTGGAGGCTATCTAATGACAATGCCCCTACTGTACTTGGTGACAGAGTTCCGTTCTGTGATAGTTCTAGGAAAAAATGAATGCATTTTTGAACACCTCAATCCTTGTTGATAACTCTGGTACTTGAAGGCTCTAGTTAAACCTTGTTAGGCAAACTGGCTGAATGCATGGGTGACTGTCTTCCTCTGCAGCGAAGGTGTCAAGGGCTAGTAATTACCCTGAGGCTTTTCAAAGCCAAGGACGGAATCAAGAGCAGTGTGTGTGAAGGGCAGAGTTGAAACTTCCATCTGATAATGTCCGCTTATCCTCGCATTTAGAATGGATGAACATTCCACAAGCAGGGCTATTAGCCACAGTGCATGTAGTAACTTCCTGAAAACACACTGGGTGCGACATGAATGTAGGTGAAGCCTTGCAAGCAGCAAAGGAGGTTTCTGTTCAATGAAGTTCGGATTTCAATGTCATCATAGCTAGCCTGGGCTTGACTTTTGAAATGCTACAGAACTGCTACAATATAAAGAGCTGGTGTGTTACGCCGAAGGGCAGTTATACAGGCTATACAGATACAGAAGCTGGTGTGTTACACCAAAGGGCGGTTATACCGGCTATATACAGAAGCTGGTGTGTTACACCGAAGGGTGGTTATACTGGCTAAACCGGTACAGATACAGAACCGTTGAGGCTTATTACCTGAGTACTTGTAGCATATTGAAATCAAATAAACACAACAGATTCGCCGTTCCTACATTTTGTATCCATATATTGCTTTTAAAATACATTTAAATTTTTGAGAACGTTACTTAAGTAACTGTATTCAAATCTTCAAGACCTCTTCTGTGTCACTGACAAAAGGTAGTAGTGTAGTGGATGCTACCTGAAATGTCTGACCGTTTCCAAAATCATAATCCACAGTTGCTGGTCAATGTCTATTGAGTAACTGTTTTTTGGTGCATTTGAAATGTTTTGTTTTACAAGGCCGTTCTCCCAAAGTCACATCCTCTACATTGTAATAATTGCGTTTTAGCTCACACGCTAAACCCGTGTCGTGAAAAATGAAACCATGCCCTGACTCCGTAATAACAGTCTGAGATTCTTCTATTCAGGGCTCGAAATACTGGGTGCATGACGCACCTTAGTGCACCCAAAATTGGAGCTGTGCACCCAATTTTTCTCTGTGCGTGCACTAGTGCACCCAAATATTTTTGTAGGTATTTTTGTACACATCATATGTATAATAGTATGCAGGATATTCTTGGCATACGAGTGTCAGAAAAATAATAAAATCTTTGTCGTAAGTTGGCCCCCATTTCAGATTCAAGCTCAGAAGAGGAACAGTAAGATCTGTAATTAGTTTTTGTTTTATATGGTGCACCCCAAAAAATTTTTGTGCACCTACTATTTTAGGCTGGGTGCACCAGTGCACCTATTCCCACAAATGAATTTCAAGCCCTGTGACGTGAAAGATGAAACCATGCCCAGTGACTCCGTAATAATGCAGATTCTTCTATCCCATGGCCCAGGAATGCATTAAAGAAGAGCAATAACCTGTCCTCTCAGGAAATCTTCTTATTGGGGACGTGTCTTGTCAGCCAATTTCATCCCCATCCTTCCCAACATTGAATCCCCGTTGCAGGATGTGTATCTAAATAAGGCCACACTAATTTAATTTGTTGGTTCTCAGATTTTTTCAGGAAAAATATGAAGCGACACGGGCGAAAAAAAAAAATAAAAACAGATCTAGGCATCCTATTATAGCCCCAAATGCTACGATAGGAGGTATGAAGTCAACACAAAAGGCTGGTTCAAAATTTAAACAATGAATTTTGAACCTCTAATGATACCACTGCATTGAAAGATGGAATAACCGTAACGGCTAGGAAGAAAAGGACTGTTTACAACTGTTCAGGGCAAAATATGAGCATTTTGCAGTTGATTCTGAAATTTTTTATTTTTTTGCAAATCAGGAAAAAATGAAGAGGCGAATCCGAGAACCAACAAATTAAATTGGTGTGGCCTAATGTTGGGAAGTGAATTATGAAGTGATTTATGCTGAGCCACTGTTCGAAATACCCATCTGCATTCTGCATTTTGCAGACTGAGTCTCAGGGTGAGAGATTTACAGTATTGCAGCAGAAAAATTCGTAATTTTGCATTATCAAGTTGAGAAGATTGTAAAATGGAGGCTTGTGTATTTGCAGAAAGTGTTTCCAAATTGCAGAACAAAATTTTGACTTATACAATACAGTTTAACAAGGTAAAACTTGCATGAGGATACTTATTTTCAATGTCAATGTTGGAAAACCAGTTGTACAATGTTTTATCACTCAGGTGTCAGATCAGGGAGCTAGAAAAGGTTGATCAGTTCATCCCTTGCAAGGGTCCACCCAAAAAAAAAGTCCAGGGTCGGTTGGGAAACAGGAAACACAACATTTTTCATTTTTTTTCCTAGGCCTACCTGAAAAGAAATTCAGGCTGGCTGGAACACTGCCCTACAGAATCAGACCCTTTATGACGCACTAGTACTCAGGGCTCGAAATACTGGGTGCAGGTAAAATTGGGGTGGGCAGGTATTTCTGATGTCCACTTGCACCTACATGTAACCTGTACATATACACTGTACGTGACTTCTTTGTGTATGTGTAGGCGTATCTTTATTTGTTGCATTGATTGTTATCGCATATGAGGTACATGTATAAAACAAATAATGTTTATGTAATAGTTTTGACCAGTTTTAAGTGTGATCCTTCAGTTACTGACTCCTTAAATTCTGAGTGGTGCAGGTAAAATTTGTCTGGCAATTTTCAATGTTAACTGCAGCCCCATTCAGGCATGTACATGAAGAAGAAAGTACTTGGTACCCTGGAGGCCTGGACACAAGTTATGTTTTATTGTTGCCGGGCGCACTAGAGTTGGTGGTCCAACCAACCAGATCTTGACATGTTCAGGTTTATAGCTTTAACGGAGCCGGAGGAACCTTCAACCAATTCATCAGTTATCCTGGAGGGTTTCTCCTGCTGGCCTTATGGTCAGGAATCGCACAGACAGATGATTGGAATTCTGCGAATTTTGGGGCAATTCCAGGACTTTTCCAGATGGTGCAACATTACGTTCGATATCAACCTTCTTATCTGCTTGTGCAGCAGTGGTCTGGAAAGTGATAGCTGTTGATTAAATGGTCTTTCTGACGTGGGAGGGTCACTCGTGTATGAATGGCAAGGTGTTCTACGTTCATGATAGTAGATATTTGGCTGGTGCGTTACGCCGAAGGGCGGTTATACCGGCCATACAGATACAGAAGCTGGTGTGTTATGCCGAAGGGCGGTTATACCGGCTATACAGATACAGAATCTGTTGTGTTATGACGAAAGGCGGTTATACTGGCCATACAGATACAGAAGCTGGTTGTTACACCGAAGGGCGGTTATACCGACTATACAGATACAGAATCTTGTGTGTTAAGCTGAAGGGTGGTTATACCGGCTATACAGATACAGATATGATATAAAACCTTATTGCCAACATTTGTCTTAACTATAATTTCTTTCAGAAGGCTCAAAAATTGTATCATTATTAACTTCGTTGTGAGTAAATGCTTATTTAAGGTTTAAGGTTTTTGACTGGAAGATGATATTTTGACATTAGAATGAATTGTCTTTTACATGACACAGGTGCATATTTTTAATCTGTAACGTTTTTCTTTTAATTTTTTGTGTAAAATACAGTCAAAACTACCAAAGACGATCATTTTTAGGAGACCAATCAAATCTGGTCTACGTGAACAGGTGGTCAGGATTCTTAATGCTTGTGTCATTGGATGAAACTACATGTATGTAAGGGGACACCAAAAAGTGGTCACACTGGCTACACGTAGGTGGTCCTAATGCAGAGGTGGTCACTTGAATATACAGGTTTGACTGTATATCAATGGCCAGGTGGTCCTTATGTAGAGGTAGTCACTTGTACGGCTTTGACTGAGTGTATTTTTTTTTAGTTTAACCTTAAAAGGTTGAAGACATAAGTAAGACACCATCTATTAAAGTTATCTACAGAACTGATGATTTCTTAGGGAATACACAAAACTGAATTGAAGTTGTTCTAGCCTAGACTGGGGGGATATTGCCAGATGGAACAGACACCGGGTAATAGCATTTTTGCTCAACCAGGAGGAGAATGATGCATACCAACTGTGGTAACCCCGCGGCTACTAACCGTATAAAAGCTTCGACCCTACGTTCTCACTAGGCTGTTGGAGCATAGGGGCCCCAATGCTGTGATTTAGCTCCCTACAGTCTTTCAACCAGCATAGGGGTGTTTTTTTGGGTTGGGGAAGAACCTTGTGATCCTTTATAAGCCTTTGAAAAAAATTAATTAAAAATTAGGGAAATTATAACTGTAGGAAATTTGTCCCTCAATAAGCAGGAAAATAATGTCTCAGAGTTTTTTTTTTTTTTAACGTAACACTTCAAGGTTGGTTAACCACCGGAATGGTATCACCTGAATGGTATTACCACTCACCTGGGTTACGGGTTACCGAGTAGAACTGTAACAGCAACTCTTCTCCCTGAGTCGGAAACATCATGATTGAGACCAGCCCAATTTCTCACAAGTAGTGAGGACTAACTGACCCAATAGGAGAAGCAGGGGTTGCGAGGCTGGTCGGGTTATGACTTTTAAGATTTTGGGGAGAGAATACCAGACCACATAGTACGTATACTGTGGTCGTGTCTTTGCAACTCGATGCGTGGCTTGTGCAACAGAAAGATATCCTTCTAGTGTGGCTGATCCCTACGCTGTGAAAAAATTCTAGTGAGAACACTGCAACCTTTACCTTGCCTTCTGCTTTCCAGTAGAGGAAGAACCCATACTCGTCAGTCTTAAAGGTGCAGTCAAATTCCACTGAAGATGACTCCTGGGCAGAAAAAAAAAGAGAAACAGGTTATCCACTTGAAACGTTTTCTAATAAATGCCCCTGCAGTTCCAGAAAAAGATGCCAAGGTGCCAAACTCACATCATTTCTTCCTGAGCAAAAGATCATGAGATATCAAAACAGGAATTTCCACTACAGTACTAAAACAAGATGCCGGGGGGCCCAAAATGTAATCATTTCGAGGTCTCATGAAGACCTACCCATTTACCAAATATCAAGATTCATTCATTCATTCATTCATTCATTCATTCATTCATTCATTCATTCATTCATTCATTCATTCATTCATTCATTCATTCATTCATTCATTCATTCACTCACTCACTCACTCACTCACTCACTCACTCACTCACTCATCAAGACAATCCATCTTAGCCTTCTTGAGACAGACACAAACGCACGCACACACGAGTCAGATTAAGTAATGCCCAAGATTCCTGGTCTGGTAGTGTATACTAGATACATTCCACAATGGCTCCAGAGCTGTGATATAAGTTAGGCCATGTTGATTTGATTATATGGATGACATCCGCGCGCGCATGAATTTTCGGCCGTTTCCAAAAAAAAGTTTTCAACCATACTGTAAATCATACAAAACAGTTGCAAAATGAACAAATTTATACCGTAAGGCCACACCAATTTAATTTGTTGGTTCTCGGATTTTTTCAGAAAAAATATGAAGCGACAGGGCGAAAAAAATAAAATAAAAACAGGTCTAGGCATCCTATTATAGGCTTAAATGCTACAAAATGAGCCATGAAGTCAACACAAAAGGCTGGGTTAAAATTTAAACATTGAATTTTGAACTTTTAATCAAACCACTGCAATGATAGATGGGAAAACTGTAACAACTAGGAAGAAAAGGACTTTCCTCAACTGTTGGGGGGAAAACAT